GTTACATATGTGGCTACGATCATCATTAGGTAACGTGAAAATCAAAATTCCGGTGATCAATGTCAGGGGAGTGTACTTTTATATTGTTCATGTGAATTTAACAATCAATTCATAAAACCACAGGACTTAAAAACCGACCTTCATTTATAACTGTTTTCATAAATTCTAGGACAATTGAAAGATTTTCCGATGGTAAATCGATAAGTTATGAAGTTGAATTCAATAAGTCGCCAATGTCGGCTGAAATCAGAAACTTATCGATTTGGTCTTGGACAATCTTTTCATTCGCCCAAAATTTAAAAGTTTGCGAATCTTTATAAACTTCTCTCATATATTATCTCGTGATTATGTAACACCATCTGCAACTTTATTTAAACGATACACAACGTTTAATAGCCAATCATGTACGTACGTATGTACATACATACAGTGTGTACGTATGTACATACATACAGTGTGTACGTATGAAGTACCTTAAAAAATTTTTTTAAAAGGAAATGTCCCAAATATTTCAAAATGGAAGTAGCGAATCTTCTTCGCTAGTAGCACCATTACCAACTAATTTATCTACTACTTCAGAAAAGTCTATAGATTTTTCTTCATTTTTAGCAAAAGAATTTGATGTTAAAGCATGGATAAATGACGCTCTTTCTTGTGCAAATTTAAATTCTTCCCTACCTTCACATTCTTCTAATTCGGCTTCTACTGATAATATTGATGAGACTGTCAAGTCTGATAATAAATCTACTCATGATATTTCTTCTATTAATGAATTACAATCATTAGAATATCATTCTGCTGCTTTGGTAGAAAAACTTCAATTTTTAAATCAAGAAATTTCTCTTCGTTTAGAAAAAACTATTGATGATGTGGTTAAAGGGATTCCAAATATAATGTCCGATCTTCAAATAATGTCTCAAGATGTTGTTAATCTAAAACAAGGTGTTCTTCATGTAAAATCTAATCTTACTACTATCGATGAAAATTCTGGTAAAGCTTTGGAACGTTTGAAATATCTTGATCTAGTTAAATCTCGTATGGAAAGTTCTAGAGATTTATTAAGAGAAGCTGAAAATTGGAATAATTTAGAAGCTGAAGCTAGTACTATTTTTGCTTCTCAAGATTATCAAAAAGCTAGTATGAGATTACAAGATGCTGAAAAAAGTTTGATAATATTTCAAAATACTCCGGAATATGATGAACGAAGAAAGTTATTAACTGAACTTCAAAATCAACTTGAAGCTACTGTTAGTCCACAATTGGTTGCTGCGTTAAGTCAACATGATACTAGTGCTTGTCAAAAGTATTATATTATATTCTGTCAAATTGGAAGGAAAAAAGAATTTTGTAATTATTATTATGGTTCAAGGAAGGCTCCTCTCGTCAAAATGTGGCAAAATACTGCTTTAATTGAAGATAATCAATCTCAAGTAACTCAAACTACTACAACTTCCGTTGTCTCTTTTCAAGATCAACAACCTTTATCTCCAAAATCTCCTTCTCAACCCCAATTTCGAAAGAAATTTGTTGATTTTTTAAAAGACTTTTTACAAGAACTATACGTCGTTTTAAATGAAGAATATACTTGGTGTGGTAATGTATTTCCGGATAACAATGAGACTTTAGTAGCGTTAATTGAAAACATTTTTAATTCCTTGAAACCTTCATTGGGTGCTAGATTAGCAATGTTGGTTAATTATTATAATGAACAATGTTTACCCGAAATTATTAATGCTTTTATGATAACTGAAGATTTTGGTAGACAAATGGAAAGAGTTTTATTTAATCATATTCAAATTGGTTCTGCTATTGGTCGTGTTTCAACTAATTCTTCTGGAACAAATCTTGGTTCAAAACCTTTTTCAAAAGGAAGTTTAGTTACTTGGGGAAATGTTGTTTTTGAACCTTTTTCTGAATATCAACATGATTATTCGGAATTTGAAAAAAATTTTTTAATTAATGAACTTAAAAGAATTCTTCAAAAAAAACGTGATTCTAATTCCATTGATTTGGCTAGAGTTATGGCTGAAAATATTGGGAAAATTTTTTCCATGGCTAATGATGGGTTACAACGTTGTATGACTCTTACTCATGGTTTTGCTGGCGTTGGTTTAGTTGATACGTTAAATCATTTCTTCATTTCATTTGTTAAAGAATATCAACAATTATTGGATCTGTTAAGAATTGATTGTGGATTGGTTAATACTAATTCTAAATATGAGATCACTACAACTACTCAAAAAAAATCTGCTTCGAATGATTATTTTGATTTCGATCAAGATAAATTACAACAAGAAGATTGGTCAAATTTTCAAATTGGATTAAGATTATTGGCTACTTGTAAATCGGCTTTTGATAAATTAATTACTTTCGAGGAAACTTTAAGGGTAACTTTGATTAGTGTCAGAGAATTAATTGAACAAGATTTAGGTAATGAAGATTTGGAATGGTATGAAAGAAGATCTAATGCGTCAATTAACGATTCAATGGGCTTAAGTTCTATCGGAACACAATCCTCAATATTATTATTAAAACAATCATTGCTTAATAGTTATCAACTCGTTTCATTAATTCCAAATATTGAATCAAAAGGCATTGATCCGAAATTATTATCTCCTGCTCAAAAATCAATGGAAACTTTTATAAGGCAATCTCAACGTTTCGTTTTTGATACAATATTCATACCAATAGTAAAACATCTTTCTAATTTACCTATGATGGAAATTTGGTGCGCCGCTGCTGAACCTGCTCAAGTCTCTCCATTTAATTTAGAAATACCTACATTTTCTTTGAGTCCAAGTGAATATATTACAAGAATTGGCGAACATCTATTAACTTTACCACAACAATTTGAGGTTTATGCTGATGATGAAAGTTTAGCTTTTAGTATAAAATCATTACCTTTTTGTGACGAAGTTGAAGGAAAAGAAGATAATAGTGGTGTTGTTGTTGGAAAGAAAGATGAAAGTACATCTAGTGCACAAGGTTTCGAGGTTAATGAGGCCAGTTCAAAAACTTCTACAACGTCTTCAATTAAAATTGCAAGTGAAAGTACTGTGTCGCTTATTGATTCTTCTATCATTCAACAACCCCAGCCCACAACTGAGGACATTTCAACTGAAGAAGTAACACATGCGTGGA